ACACTGAGCAAATACACTCAAAATACCGGACATTTTGTTTTTGTTTATTTTCCATAACAACTAGATTAAAAGATTAACAGTTAACTCAAAACGTAAACACATTAATAATTTGTTGTTTACCTTTATAGAGTGTTACTAATATTTTTACACTCATAAGGTTAAAAATAAAATCTGTTCAATTTCGTCCTTTTCAGAGGAAACAATAACTTTAGTAATTTTTTCAAATATTTTTTATTTATTAAAAACGTGGTGTTAAGTCGAGATCTTTGCCCAACGACGGACGAAGCCCTAGGTGTGCTGCGCTCTACCATCCACGATTGTATAGAGCGGTTTAGGACCACCGGAAGTTTTGGTCGAAGAGAAGGTAGTGGATGACCACGATGTACGATGGTTGGAGACGATCGTTTTATTGCTCTTTCCTTGATAGGTAGTCAAATCCAAACGGTCCGTAATGTTAGGTGAGATCTAAAACAGTCATCAGGAGTCATGAGAATATCCTAGTCTAGACGTCCCGTATCAGGTTTTCTACTATTGGAGAGGCATCGAGTAAAAAGGTGATTATTCGCAAATCATCATCTCGCTTGGACATTCGGACAATGGGGGCTGTCCTCTCCACAGATGAGTGCCGGTTTGATTTATGGCAATCGGATAACCGGGACTGTTTGTTGAGAAGATGTGGAGGCCTTTTCAAAGAAGTCGGTTTGGAATGATATCCAAGTCCCCTGGTATCACACAGAATGGATCTGAGACTCTACTAAGGTACTTTCAGGTTGTGCGCTTCATCCGCTCCATTTATTATGGACAACTTCGTGATGATGCGTGATAATGCTCGACCACATGTAGCTTGAGTTGTCATCCATTACTTGAAGGATGTAGGGATTACTGCAATTAATTAGCCAGCACGTTCTTCTGTCATAAATTCTATGGAAAATTTATGGGCCATGATAGAGAGACTGGTTAGACATCGCCGCCTACAACAAGCGTTGAACAGCTTTAAATCTGCTGTTAACGGTTTTATGTGTAGACTCCTGATGAAGGGGGATGTATTCCTCGAAACCGCGACGAAGTAACTGAGTGTTCTGTCTAATTAGTCTTATCCCTGATAATCTTTTCTAAAATAATTTCCTAGGGTAGGCTAAAAACTGTCATCGTAGATCATTTCCTTTTATGTTTAACGAATTATGAAAGAGATTTTTATGTTCTATACTATATCGTCTTCTTATATTGATATTTTTTTAAATTAGGGGTATTCATGATGTTTGTAAGATGTTAACTCGAATAGAGAAATGTCCAGTAAGATCGTGAACGCCCTCTTCTTTTCTTTTCGTGTTAAACGGTAATTTTTCCGCAATTCTTCGCGTGGAAACTGGTAGAACCAAAAATAAAGCTACAACAGTCCTGTAATTAGGAAAATTAATGAATTCTTTCATTGAAAATGCTATCTACGCACAAAAGTACTAACAAACGACACGCTTCAATTCGGCAACTTGTGACCTAACCTCTAACAGCCTACAACTTTAAAGGACTTTATGTACATGTGTGACAACTTTATGTATTTATTATGAATGAGAGTATAAGGACAGATCAGACATTAACAAAAATAACAAATATTGGTCTGATTTAATTAATGTGTATTTAAGAACAAAAATACGTGCAAACAAAAAACAGCTGTTAAATTCATGACTGCCATGTTGGTTACCTACGCCCTAACGGATAGCAATATGACTACATTTTCGATCTAACATCTCACATTGGCCCTGGCCTGTTAGATCTAGCAATGTTAACTAGCCGATTCTTACATGTCTACGTCATCATTTTTCTCGATCTAACACGACCTAGCAGGGTTAACACAAAGATCGTGAATATCCCTATTATTCTTCTTTTTTTTTTTTTAAATATGCACAGGTGTAATGGCAAAAAATGGACGTTCTGTCAGCTTCATAGCGTATGGTATGCCTTGTCTTTTTGGGATAGAACAGTTTTTGATTCGTTTTTAGGCGAAAGGCATTTTCGCAATTAACCAGATCTTTTCCGTCTTAATAAGCCGCCTGTTGAGTATCCGGATTCTCACCACGATACTTTACCCTCCAATAAAACCGACCGAGACAAAAAGTCTCATATAGTAGTAGATTATCGCCAGTTTACAGAGAAGAGATAAGCTTTTATCGCCTTTATAAAAGGAATATACAGCTATTAATTATCCCCCTCTCTTTGCTAGACAAAAACGGACTACTATATATTATGCAAAGGAAGTGTAAAGACGGTACCTGAATAAAATAGCGGTGGAGCTGGTTTCTATTGGAGCACTTAGACGGTGCAATTAAACAGGTTGTGGCCTGACTGAAGGCGGAGAAGAGCCGTGGGAAAATCCTGCGACCTACATTGTCTCTTATTTTCAAACTCTGACCCTTGCGCCGCCTGTCTTCCTGATTAATCGAGCCGCTGGCCTCCACATTCATATTTAACGCCTTATTTACACCGGTCTTTTATTGCGCAAATCGTGTTTGCCTTAGCGGCGATGAGCTACGACGCTAATCAGCGGACCTTGAGACTGACATCATGAGCTTTTCATTTCAACGGAATAAAATAATCGCTTCGGTTGTGCAAAAACAAAATTAAAAGCATTGAACATTCGCCACAAAAACAAATTCACCAAAAGCCTGATTTAAATTCTGTTTGAATTCCTATACTTATTACATTCTTTCTTTGGAATTAACAGAAAAACTTTTACTACTATTTAACCCTTTCCTCCGTCTAAATTTGACAAAGCTTAGATAATCCCATGAGCTTTGGGAAAAGTTCAGTGTTTTACTTCAATGTTTCATCCCGTGTATTGGCAATACTGATTTTTTTGCGCCAATCTATAATTTCCTACTTGGAATCTTCTATCTCCAACATGTTTCTTCATCCCACCTCTTTATCTTGTATCGATTGTTATATTTGCAGATTATAAACTTGTTCATATTAAACCTATAATTTAACCCTATCTTGCTCAAAGTCGCTTTAGTCAATGCTAATTTTTCCAATTTTATTTAAAGTTAGCGAAATTCCGCGAATATAGGGCTAGTGGAATGTTTCATCCCGTGTATTGGCAACACTGATTTTTTTGGCGCCAATGTATAAACTCCATCTTGGAATCATTTGTCTCCAACATGGTTCTTCATCTCACCACTGTACCCTGTATCGATTGTTATATTTCCAAATTTGCTTGAATTTTGGACGTTTGAATGTGTGAGCAAATGTCTAGTTTTATGAAAGGGATACCATGGGTAATGTGGAAACACAAAGTCAATTTTAAAAAAATTGGTATAATTTAGCTAATCCCATGAATTTAAGGCGGGTACAGTGTTTACCCTTCAATGTTTCATCCAGTGAATTGGCAACACTGATTTTTTTGCGCCAATCTTCAAACTGGTAATTTTCCATCTCCAACATGGGTTTTCATCTCACCACTCAATCTTGTATCGATGGTTACATTTGCAACATATAAAATTCTTCATATCTAACTTAAAATTTAACCCTTTGTTGCTCAAAATTGATTCAGAGCAATGCTAGTTTTTGTAATTTTGTTTAAGGTTAGCAGAAAATCCCGCGAATATAGGGCCAGTGCAATGTTTTACTTCAATGTTTCATACCGTGTATTGGCAACACTGTTTTTGGCGCCAATGTATAAACTCCATCTTGGAATCATCTGTCTCCAACATGGTTCTTCATCTCACTACTATATCTTGTATCGATTGTTATATTTCCAAAAAATAATATTTTTCATATCTACCTTAAAATTTAATCGTTTGTTACTTAAATTTGCTCCAGAGCAATGCCGACATTAGCAATTTTGTTTTAGGTTAGAGAGAAATTCCGTGAGTTTAACGTGGGCGCCGTATTTATGTCCTAAAGTTAAAAATCTCAGCGTTATTTTTAACTCTAATCTTACACGGCATGACCATGTGAGCTCTATTATTAAAAAGGTGTAATCAATCCTCATTCTCTTCGACGTTTTAGCTTTTTCATTCCCCAGATAACTAGACTTTTCCTTAATAAGCCACTAATAATTCCTTTATTCTTTTACTGTAGTGCTGTTTTTTTCATTTTCCTTAGACTCAATCTGTTCATCACCTTAAAATTCCTTATCGTTCCTGCATTAGATATTGTTATGATCTTAAAACAAGAGATCATGTTTCTTCCAGTATTAACGTCTTTAGTAACTTTAACATTCTAATCACATATAAACTTAGAGTTTTAATACACATATTTAAAATTAAAAGAAATCAATTTCGCCAATATCTAGCAACTTTTTCCCCATATTCCTTATCAAAGTGCACCAGTTATATCCCAATCCTTCAAAACTCTTCTAAAATTTGAGTCTTATCCTTCAGATTGCAGAGGCAAGACTCTGGAGCTTGGTTTTACTTTCCCAGGATATTCAGGTCCATGGTATCTGTGTTTTTAAAAAGGACGTGAATCATATTCTTTTCTTCCGTCTTCATTTTCTTTTTCTCGTTTCCTTTTCCCTTTTTCTCGTTCTGCTTTTCTTTCATATTGTGGTGTCTTCATTCGATTTTAAATACTTAATATTTTAAAGAATATATTATTGTCATTACTGTTTTGTAATGTTTTATTATTATTATTCTACTATGTTTATACAACTAAATTTATTTTTAAAATATGAACATATAAGGGGGTATAAAGTCCTATTTGTACTTTTAAACAAATAAATAAATAAAAAATAACATAAGTTTGTAATAAAAAAATCCGCTCACGTGTAGTTGGGACATTATGACATGAATTCCTTTTACTTTATAACAAAATATGAAAAAATTTTTAATTGTGACAACTATCTGTGGGTAAAATATACGCAATACTGCATCTACTGCCATGTAATATGTTCATAGATTCGCAACAATCCTTTAATTTTAATTACTAATTTTTACATTGAGTGAACATATAAAAACAATTATCCGTCTGTACAATTTTTTTTACATTTTGATATTTTATTGCAGGCGCTGAGTGGGTTCCTGATGATGATGACGCAAAATGGAAAACTACTTTACATCTCGGACAACGCAGCCGAGTATCTCGGCCATTCTATGGTAAGCATCTACCTAATATCAGTAATAGTTAATTTATAAATAAACATTAGTATGCTGCTCGTAACAAAAACAAAAAATGTTTCGGAGACGCCAAGGGCTTTCACTTCATAATACTACTAATAGTATTAGTTAACATATACAAGTACACGAACTACAACGTGCCTCACTAATACTACTAAGTGATATTGTACAAGTAAAAAATTACAAAATGTACAAGTCTGCTGTACGGTTAGCAGGAAACCGGGAATCAAACACATTTTCTGTTTCAACCAACACAGGTTGCTTTAGTTAGAGAATCGAAAAGGTTGATGTTATTGCTTATTGCTCTTATTATTTTTAGTTTTGAAGGGCGTTTTAACGGCTAAGGTTTTCAACAACGCCCTAACATCCAAACCTTTGCTTGGGTTAGCTATATCCATTCTGAGTGCTATAATAAGCTATAAAGCTCTGACTCCAAACATTCACTCATAAACTAATCTATCTTATTGCCATCCAAAGCTTTAATTTATCCTTTTAAAATTCTTAATTTGAAAGGCCAAATGTATGCAAAAATCCCATTTTAAATTATTCAATTTATTCCTGTTAATATTTTTGTTCCATAATTTAAACATTTCCCATAGACTTGTACGGCCAATAATAATAATAATAATAATAATAATAATAATTTATCAATTAATTCAGGTTTTTAGTTGAGATAAAAAGTCAGTGTCACGAGCGGGATTCGAACCCACGACCTTCGGCTAGATACGCCGCTGCTCTACCACCCGGGCACTAACTTCCCATCTCAACCCCACCTTTTGAATTTTCCCTCCTTTTTTCAAATGTCGTGTAATCTATTTGATTCTCGGCGACAAAAGTGTCCGAGTCGTTAGACGTTTGTGAGAATTTAAAAGAATATTATTAGTTGAACACCAATTATTAAATTAATTCATCTTTATGTAAGGTATTGGTTGAAATGAAAAAAGTTAGTGTCACGAGCGGGATTCGAACCCACGATCTTCGGCTAGATACGCCGCTGCTCTACCACTTGAGCTATCATGACCTCGATCCACTCAGGTTCAAATCCCGCTCGTGACACTCACTTTTTTAGTTAAACTAAAAACCTTAATTAATTGAAAGATATTAATTGGTCAAGCGGACCACGAAAACTAGTGAATTTAATAATAATAATAATAGAGTCAGACTAGCAACAGTCTCAGCATGAGAATAGACTCATCGTTATCCTTTTATTCTTCCATTCAAATATGATAAATAAACTAATGCTACTTATCAATAATAAGAAAAAAAATAACACTTCTTTTTCTTTATTCTCTTTTTTTTCGAAGGAATCTATCTTGCGATTTTGGGCATTGCAGTTTATTACCCCTCAATTTGTACTTTCTTCTATTTCATTTTCTGCTCTGGCAGCCTGAACAGAGAAAAAAATATTTTTCAACAACTCCTTCAAAACACTAGCAAACATTCAATGGTATAACAATTTTGGAAAAGACCTAAATCCCATTATAAATAGAAATAAATTTGAGATAGCTGAAAAGTGCTCTTCGAACCAGACACTGGGCACACAGTAATTCCTTTAAATCACTCGAAAGCTTATTGCTCTTTTTAATATTATTATTACCGTTACTGTACCTATTATTGAGGATTTTATGGCGGAATCAGTGATTTATTTAATGTTCCATAAAGAGGAGGAAAATCGGCCATATTGAAAAACTAACTTAGATTTGTGGTGACATTTTCTGCCCAACCATAATTGTGAGAAATAAACAAGTTTTGATTTGATGTCTCCTACTATACAACTTACTACTATCCAGTGAAATAGAATGCAATACAGAGTGTTTATTTTATCGAAAGTGCTACCCCTTTTCTTGTAGGGTCTTCTATTAGAGGTCCTATCTCAATCAGGAGCCACTCGAATCTGTACTATGACATTCTGAACGACTCTTTAAATTCAAAACCACTTGCAAAATCAAAATGGATCCATGTTTTGTTGCTTTGTCTACGTATAGAGTCATTTTGTCGAGCAACAGTCAGTAATTTGTTCGTTATCATTATTGAAAAATAAATCCTCCAGAATTGTAAAGAAAAGCAGGAACAAAACTAACCTGACGTTTGGAAGTTTACACTAATATTTTGGAAATTCAGGCAGTCTCAGTCTTGTATTAATAGTTCAAATAAATAGAGTATATTACAAATATTTATATTTGTATATTTTTATTACAAATATTTATGAAACGAAATTCGTTGTCTTTTAAACAATTTTTCTTCACTTTCGATTTTACAGTTTGTTCATTGTACTTTTCTTCCTTTTCATCGTGAAACAAATTTATAGAAAGTACAAGCTACTACACTATTTAGTAGGGCCCAGAAGGCTATGAGAGCTACAACCGCTAGAAAAGCTTTGATTTATTGAAAATATTCAACAGATTTAATCAATACGAAACAGATTTTGTCAATCCAATGTAGGTAAAACGTTTTTTTTTAATCCGTTTTGGATCTGGATCGAAATTGACAAAATGAAGACTAGCTGTACATATAGCAAGAGCGATGATGGTCGGGTCTACCGGTCGTTCTTGCTGTATGTACAGCAAGTCTTCATTTTTTCAATTTCGATCCCGATCCAAAACGTTTTTAAAAAGGATTGGATTAACTACAATGTAGGTAAAACTTTTTTATTTAAATCCGTTTTGGATCGGGATCGAAATTGACAAAATGAAGTATGCAGCACATATAGTAAGAACGATGGTGGTCGGGACTTGTACGTTTTATGGTCAAGCGCGAAGTACAATTGGAATGTTGGAAAAGCAGCGATGTCATAAAAGAAACGTTCAGGGTTATTGTTATTCTAAATAATTATTCAGAAATCGTGAAATGCGGTCTGGTGTGATGTAGGTTTCAGAAAAACATTTTCTTTATCGTGCCAACGTTTCGATCTTTATTGGGATCATCTTCAGGGCTCAAAGTGTTTGTATTCTGTGTAATTGTGCCATTCTTGCGTGTCGTGTTGAGAGTGCTCTCTTTCTGAATAATTATCGATTAATGGCCACTAATCACCACACATTTCTACACGTTATTCTAAATGTTTTTAATTTTTTATGAAAGACTGCGGTAGCCTAGTGGTTAGCTAATCAAACTCTCGGCTCGTTGACCAGTCATAGGTTCGATTCCGACCGTCAATCCTGGAATTTTCTGAACGCTGAAAATGCATACAATATAATATTATCGTCTCTCACATTTGATTTTTTATTATTTTTTAAAAACGAGTTACTAAGTTGTACTATAGAACTAGATATATTTATTCTGTTTAGCAGCTTGTCTAAATTACAGTAATAGACCATTATATACTTTATTTATTGGTATTCATCGTAGATGAAATTTTGTGAGTAGTGTCAGCAGCGATTAGATAATCGCTGGCTTTTATCTTGTTTTTTGTTCGAGTCGAAGGGATTCCGCGCAGATGGCTGCATTAATGCATGAGCCGCTGGGATGCATCAGAGAGGGAAGAATCCTTGATTGATGCTGGGACCACGCATTGTCTTGCCACTTCTCGCATGCTCTAATTGATTGAAGCCCTTGTTTATCCAGTTAGAAATTAATTGACAACCTGCTAACTTCCTAACAACTACATGGTTCTCTACGCTTACCTCAATTAACATTAGCTATCACCTCCGAGTTCGAAGGGGAATTTGGTTTTTTTCCAGGATTAGAATGTTACTATGTAAATATTAAAAAAGAAAATATTTTTAATCGCAATCTTAAAATGTGCAATACTTTGGATGACAATTTCGAATTTAATTGTACTAACTTTTTAGTTACTTATTTTTTTCGTTTCATCAGAAGATTCATCTTTCACTTTTTCCTAAAATGATCTTAACTCGGGTCTCTTTTTTGTTGTTGATGATGATGAAGAGATGATAAAAGAATATGTATTAGGGAAAGGGTTGTATGAATGCACCCACCTTCTAAACAAACCAAAGTTGATATAATAAAAGTCTCCAACTATAAAACAAATCAACAATGCAAATGTAAAATTTAGTGAAAAATCAAATGTATTAATAGGAAAAAGTTAGTGTCACGAGCGGGATTCGCACCCACGACTTTCAGAGTTATACGTTCTGTTAGTTTAGACTAGGCTGAATTAACTAATAAAAATAAATAAAATTCTAGGGGACGTGGCCGCAACGGTTTAGGCGTTGACACGGCGCTCATCACTGTAAGGTAAAGGTCCCGGGTTCGAATCCAGCGGCCCTGCATTCGAACCCTACATACAAATGGGTTGTTTTTTTTCAAAAACACCGGCACCCCGAGGGTTGATATAACCTCTGCTGTTGAGAACCCTCGTTAAAATAAAAATAAATAAACAAATTTATAACATAAGAAACGTTTACAAATGTTAAGGTCAGGAAATGAGAAAAATCCAAATCTCGGCGTTTTGCCCCATATTGCTATTACAAAATGTTATCGATATTTTATTCATATTATACGTTCTGTTCGTCTGGACTGGGCTGAATAGACAGTTTATGCCATAAGATTTTTTTTAAATTTATTTAGTCATTCATTTTCTACCTGAACCACTACTGTAGTACATGTAGTTTAGATACATTTACATTAATGACCTTTACATTACATTATATACATTTTTTATGAAATTTAATATAATAATTATTATGATTATATATTGTTCATTTCCCGCAAAGTTACAATTTTTAACGAATTGTTCAAACACTGTTACATTGTTTTCACTGGAGAGGTTTCTTCCAGGCCAGTCCGATCCATTCAGCAGGAGGTGTACCAAATTTGATCTCTTTGCATCCAGCACTGGGCAGTGGAACAAGATCCACGTCCTGAAACTGACAGTAGCAATGATGTAGTCACTCCAATTTTATGCAAATATTCAATTCACTAATTTCGTGGTCCGCTTGACCAATTAATATATCACAATTAATTAAGGTTTTTAGTTGAGATAAAAAAGGCAGTGGCACGAGCGGGATTCAAACCCACGA